CTTCCTATTGTATCGTACAATTATTATTTTTTACACCACCATGAAAATCTTTCAAAATTGTAGGGAAAAAGTAATCTTGATAGATTTTTGCGTCAAAAATTACGGGCTTTCTGGCTTTTTAAAGGGGTGAAGGGTAGCAACAGCCGTTATACTGTTAGAATTGAAATTTTAGAACTGAGCTCTCGAAGTGGGTGTCGGCATTTTCATTGTAGGCGTCTTTGGGGTCCAGAACCACTTAATACCAGGTGGGTCGTGAGCTCGTCCACCCATATAAGCAATTAAAAATATATATACAAAATAGTAATAAATACATGATATCAAATAAGAATACTTTATTATTAACTAGCTGACCCGGCAGCCTACGTAGTGCCTCAATCGATAAATAAAAGACCTAAGCTTTTGTATAAAATAAACTTAAAACAAACAAAAGGAATCCGTCCGACGGGGGGACATGAAAGGAAAAACTAAATTGTTATTTTTATTTAATTCCGAGCATTTTCATATTTATGTACCTTTTAAACCTTCTCTGGACTCCCACAAATAATTCAAGACCAAAATTAGCCAAATCGGTCCAGCCGTTCACGAGTTTTAGCGAGACCAACGAACAGCAATTCATTTTTAGAAATATAGATGGAAGATAGGTTTTTGTAATACCGAACGCAATGATAGTATTAATGTGTAGTTTTTTTTTTTGTTTTGTAGTATTTTGTACTGCAAATAGAAAAGTTTAATGATAGCTTAAGAATTAAACATGCAAATATTCCTACATTTAATTAAATTTGTTTGCGGTAAAATGTTCGCAATTTTGATTACCCACCAAATGAATTACATGTTAGTAATTGTGTTCTGTCTCTTTTATTTTGTCAGTCGCAGATAACATTCTGCAATACGTTTGTTTGGTTTATTTCGTTTTACTGGTCCATCTTGGCTGCTTTTCAATGACGCGACTGACTGTTCTGTGTCGGAGTGAGTACAGCCCGTCTGAATAACAATGGCCGATACATTTTTCGTTTCTCAACGAATATATTAAAGAAAGCAGATATAGATGCGATAAAAAATAATAATATTATTAAATTATTATTTTTGTTTGTATTAATTTGTTGATTCACTAAATAACTGGATTTCAGATCACAGAAGTTCATGATTTTAAATCCACTTCTCGATGATAGATGGCGCTGTAATTGATTACTTACATAGCTTCTTATTGTCTCGCTTTATGCTTCCTAAAAATCTTTTGCAGATATTCCATTAAAACTTCGGCTTCCAAGAAAGTTTTATAATGTAGTGGTTGCTACATGCCGTCAAATAACTCACTGAAACAACGCTTAGTCGAAAAATGACGCGACATACCTAATATTTTTTACGCACCGTTGGGGCGAACACGAATGACTATCGAAAAAGTATGCGTATCGCTATAGAGAATTTAAACAGCGCCCCTATCGTCCGTAAAAAGAATTAATTTCAGCAGCACGAATCAATTCACTTACTTTCGTTTTGCGATCGAATGGACAAGTTCTCGAAACTCGAAACTCATACTCATAATCGAGAGCACGACAATTGTTTTGACACACGGTGACGTAAATCTCGAAGGTTGGCTATCTAGTACTACTGTTTAATGTAATGATCCGTTTTCGTATCGACGACTCGATACATTTACATTACGAATTCGATAGATTTTCGTGCTTGACGTACTGGATGCCGTATAGTTACTGTCGATACCGATACGATGGCGGCCTTACATCACAAATGATAAATAAGAGATGGCGCTAAACTAGTTTTCACAATAACGAAATTTGCTTTCCTTGCATTTTTTCGAATAAACTTCCTAATCTTAAATTGATAAAAACCAATAGTTTCTAGAAAATACTCCGATGACAAAATTTCGATTTTTCTCATAATTGACCTTTAAACTCTTTATTATATTCGCTCTTTCCGAATCGCGTTATGCAGCCATGTTTATGAACTTTGTTTATAAGTTTAATGAGTTTGTTTAAGCCTTGTTGTCCGTTTCTATGCAGTGAGCTAAACTCATCGAGGAACTGGCTTATCTCTCGAAAACTATCATTACAATCTGTCAAATATTATCATCATTATCATTGTCAATATCATAATCATTATCATCGTCAATATCATCATCATTATTATTGTCAATATCATCATCATTATCATTATCATTACCTTAAGACAACCGAAGCACGATTTCGATATCCCTGCCGTAAAATATTTGACCATGACTCTGTTTTTACTCCTTACCTCACTCAAGAGAAGACGCTTCTCCCTCGTTTCCTCACAGAATAATGGCACCAGTTTTTGATGAGATAGAAACGAGTCCATAGAGTATAATTATGTTTTTACAAATAAAATATTGTTGCCCTTGTAAGCAAATGAACATACACTCCACGCGATGCTGAGCGATCACTGTCGTCCATGGACGTCAGCAATCGTCAGCAATGCCAAGGGCAGAGCCAAGCCGCTGCCTACCGTTAAGTACTCTCTACAAGCCACATTTGAAGAAGGACATCATCATTCTCTTGCCCTTCTCCCAGTCACCTGGGGTCGACGCAACACTTTTTCTCCTTCCATACTCTTCTATCATATACCACTTTTTCGCTCACTCCCCTCTTACACATATCGTCTTTCACGCAATCCGTCCATTTCTTCTTAGGTCTACCTCTTCCTCTATATCCTTCCACATTCATACTTGACACTCTCTTACCAACCTCATTTTTGAAGAAGGACATACTATGTTATTAGCTTGATGTTTCTTGATTGCATGTAATAGAATTTTTGAAGGTATTTTTCACTAACTTTTTTTTTCTTGCCTATGCTGGTTAGCCTTAGATGGCTATAGCAGCGTTACCTAATGAATAGGTGAGCTCACGGGGCCTCTAGCCTGGTGACGATGCTAACACTAGCCCTAGCAAGAGCAGTGCTTCGCAGAATCTACCACGATCAGACACGCGACCCACTGAGAAGATCCGGCGGGAAACTCAGTGCGCTGTGTCTATGGATTAACTCATATCAAGGACCGATGTCAGAACAGCAATTTTATAACGTGGTTTTCATATCCTGTCCTAATACCGACAGGATAAATATAAAGTTAATTGTTTGGTTCGGTTTGGTATTTAGGCGTGTATTTTTTTGTTTGTTTCTAAACAACATATTTATTGTTATCATAAATTAACCGTTATCATACTGAATAGCTCTCTAAAGTGCCTAATAGCTCTCAAATTGCCGGCCAACACATAAGTAAACAAAACTAAAGTGAAATATGCAGACGTACCAAAAGTTTTTCAAAAGTTGTTTTTTTTTGAAAAAAAAACTCCCAAATCAATCCAATTTTGGAGGATGAAACAAGGAAATACGAAACTTCGATTTAGGTATGAGGCAAACAAATGTCGAAGTCTTAATTTTATTGTGTAACGACTATCCTACTTTTGCAATTCAAACGCAAAATCCGCAGATGATTTGTTGTTAATAATAGAAGTTGTCAATAAAAGTTTATGTCATAAAATCTAATAATTATTTGTAAAGTTGTTAATAATAATACAAAAATACAAAGACAAGTCCATTCCGTCGTCCCACAAACGAAGTACGCCAAGTGCATCCTTGTTCATCTTACTCCATTGTTGTTATTACAATAGTTGGATCACCATTTGAAGAGCAGCACCCGTCTCGGGAATGTAATAGCGCTCTCGCAAAATTAACGACTCAATCACAACGCAGACGAGAGCGCCCTAATTAAAATTTTGTTCACATATTTTTTTCATGCAGTTAATTACAACTCTTTCGACGCTTTATTAGGGTTCCGTGGGAAAATGTGAAATTGAAACTTTTATTTATTTATTGCTTAGGTGGGTGGACGAGCTCACAGCCCACCTAGTGTTAAGTGGTCACTGGAGCCCATAGACATCTACAACGTAAATGCGCCACCCACCTTGAGATATAAGTTTTAAGTTGTTGCTCGCTCCGGGAATTTCAATATTGTAGTAATTGTTACGTTATAATACTAATTGTAAAAAAATCATATTTAAAAAAATTTTTATATAAAAAAAAAAAAAATAGCTTCCTATTTAAAAAAAGAAAAAAGACATGCCCGCTGAGGTTCTTGCCAATTCTTCTCAGGGCGGAGGCTAGTTCTTGTGAATTGGCGGTAGTTCTGTTGGCGTTCTACAAGTGTTCATTTATGTTGAATAATTTTTTTTTTTATTTGATTTGATTTAAGATCTCAGTATAGTTACAACGGCTGCCCTACCCTTCAAACCGAAACGCATTACTGCTTCACGGCAGAAATAGGCGGGGCGGTGGTACCTACCCGCGCTGACTCACAAGAGGTCCTACCGCCAGTAAATTTTGAAATTTCTTTGAAAATTCTGCTCTCGTCCGCTATGTCTATGGATATCACAAACGTGATCACAACGAAACTGATAGTGTTCAATGTATCGAATTAGAAAGATGGTGCTATCTATGAACCGTATCTATGATCGCTGTAAAGAGATTTAGTGAAACCGCAAAAGTGATGGATTGTAATAATAATTGTACCTTCAATGAGATAATAAGATTTATTATTATGGTAGGCAGCGGCTTGGCTCTGCCCCTGGCATTGCTGACGTCCATGAGTGATGGTGACCACTTACCATCAGGTGGGCCGTATGCTCGTCTGCCTACAAAGGCAATAAAAAATAAAAAAACTTTTTGAAACAATACGATAACATTGTCAAAATAAATTTTCCTCCATTTTTCGTTCATTTCGTCCGATTTTTGTAGACAAACATTCTGAAATGCTCAAGCTAATAGAACTAAAGAATGCTTTCAAGGTTCCATTGAAAAGATTTGTTTATTATATAATAATAATCGCTATAAGAAATCCACTAACAGTTTTTACTGACTTCAAATTTTAACTTAAACTCGACTACGGAACCTCACTCTGTACATTATCCGACATTGTCTGGCCTAGTTTTAAATCCAGACTGCACTAATCAACCGCTCTCTTGTTCCAGGTTAACGTGCCGTCCGAGTGAAAGAGACCGACAAAATCGAAACTTCCTATAAAACGCCTTATATGGAGCGAGACGGGCTTACGGCGCGTGCTCCGTCACGTATTAGAACCTACATAATACACGAATGTAGATAATAGCACGGGAACAGATAAAGCAAATTCGGAACGCCTAGGCCCGAGTGTAGACTATCGCCTAACTATCCAAGTGGACGGTGCTCGTATGAACTTGCCTTAATACTTCTTTTTTTTTTTTTCGTAATGTGTCTGAAAGTGTAGTTGCGCCCGCGTCCGTGCTTGTAGGTTTAGTTTAGGATATATATAGGAAATAAATATAAAGGAAGGCGGTGGGGACGGTGTGTGCGTGCGCCGGGGTGTGCTCGACGAGGGTGATGCAGCGGAGGCCGTGCAGGCGCATCGGACGGGAAGCAGGGAAGCTCACGGTGCTGGTCTGACGACACTCTACAGGTAAGTAATTCCTACTTAACCACCCATTGATTACCGTTGCTACTTACAGAAGAGACTATGAGATATAAGTTCTAAGGTCTCAAGTATAGTTACAACGGCTGCCCCGCCCTTCAAACCGAAACGCATTACTGCTTCACGGCAGAAATAGGCGGGGTGGTGGTGATAACTAGCCGTGTGGTCTACAAGAGGTCCTACCACCAGTAAAAGGTCCTATCGCCATTAAGTCTTCTCTTGCTCATTCGTTCCGTTCTTGACAGAGTAGTCGTGATCGTCATATGGTGACGAATAGAGCAGAGTTGAAGCGTCACACGATGTGATGCCACCTCTCGCTAATTCAAAGCCATTCTGTTGCACTCACATAATATTAGGTCCTTACATATGAAATTGGCGTTTTGTACGGGAGGAATATAAAGTCAATTATTTGTTTGTAAAATATAGGTATTTAATTAATCAAGACTTCACAGTCCACCTGGTGTTAAGTGGTTACTAGAGCCCATAGACATCTACGTAAATGCGCCACCCACCTTGAGATATAAGTTACAGGTATAGTTACAACGGCTGCCCCACCCTTCAAACCAAAACGCATTACTGCTTCACGGCTGAAATAGCAGGGTGGTGGCCCGCGCGGACTCACAAGAGGTCCTACCACCAGTAATTACGCAAATTATCATTTTGCGGATTTGATTTTTATTACACGATGTTATTCCTTCACCGTGGAAGTCAATCGTGAGCATTTGTTGAATACGTATTTCAGTGGAAAAATTTGTACCCGCCTGGGATTCGAACACCGGTGCATCGCTCAACACGATTGCCCCGGACGTCTTATCATTTAAGCCACGACGACTTCTGCTAATTACACGGCCACATTGCTGTCAAAAAGCACTATAAAATATGTGATCCTATTGAAATTGTAAGCGGTCCTACTGGATCTTTTTGGACAAAAACGAATCGCTCCAGGACAGTTTCACGTTGGTGGAGGAAGTGGGCTAGTTGTTGGAAGTATCTTCTTGCGGCTCGCATCGTTCAACATCAGCTTGCTTTGTGCGAGTTTTGTAACGTTCTCGATAGCGTAAAAGTTAGCTCAATTTTGTATGCAGTTGGAACAGCGCCCCTAGCAGCAAACGTAGGCAAACGATCCCCCTTTCATACAAATATGAGCTAACTTTTACGCTATCGAGCACGTTAAAAAACTCGCACTAAGCAAACTGGTCGAGATCGAACCCGATCCGACGGCTGACGACGCAGAATGCGACTTCCAATAGGATGTCTCAACCGTGAACAAGAACCGTGTACGGGTCCGATCGTAAGATGCCGTCTGGCGAAGTGAGGTGGCTTTGGCAATGTCAGTGGCGGGGGGCCGAACTGACATGGAGTGGAGTGATGTAGATAACGGCCATCCGTGATTATTGCACCATATCTTTCGAGATATCAGACGTTTTGTTGGGGACGCCATCCTGGAGCCTGATATATAAATTTCAAATATAAATTAACATCATTACATTTTATATTTTACTTGTAAAATTAGGCTGAATGAATACTATTCAATTTCCGTTCTGAACTGAAAAAACAAAAGAGGGTTGTCATTTCAATAAATGACAACGTACTTCTTCCCGCCGCTGGATCTCAGCGTTCGCAATCCAGCGCTTAAAGCGACTTAGCGGAGTGATTTGTGTTCTGCCAGTTGAAGACGTTATTTTGCTGCAGCGCTGCGAGATGGCGGCACCGATCGATGCGGTCATGTTGCGCGCGCACTCAATGACGTCACGGAGCCGGCCGGGCGCGGGCCGCCAAACTGAATTTGAATGCCGCCAAAAGTAGTACATTAAACTCGTAGTAATTGTGTTATCGAAATTAATTAACAAAGCGTTTGTGTATTGAATTATTCATTATAGTAGTGATAGTAAATTTCAAATTACTAGTGGTCCCGCAGTAGTCGAAACTCGACTATAATGTTAATTGAAATTGTATGTTTAAACATTATTATGGTTCTATTGTCAAATACTATTATATTTCTATAATATAATCACAGATTTCGCCAAAACTTACACTATAGATAAATAACATTAAAGACAAACAATACTAATCTATTCGGAATTTGACCACAGACTTTAAACATTAACAAAAGTTTGACAATTGACAATAAACAAAGAGTCAACTACATGGTAGTGTGTGTAATGTTTTTTTTTTAGATTTCATGTATGTTTTATACATAATTTAAAAATAATATTAGCATTGTGCACTCCTCCTCTATATTCTCTATAAGTGTGGGAAATTTCATACTCCTCCGTCCGCACAATTTTCGTAATAAGGGATACAAAGTTTTTGCTTCACATATTAATATATAGATTTACATTGTTTTTCTATTGGTTTAATCTTTACAATATAAAGAGGTGAAATAGTTCAGCATTTGTTTATTTATTACATACCTATTGAGTTAGATTAGTCTTTGTCGACGTCGCCCTAAGCACGTCATTACAGTTCCTCCCGATCCATTAACGGTGTTCTTAGGTACCACAAGCACCGGTCACCGTCCTCGTCGAACCCGTCGCTTACGACAAAGGGCTCGACGAGTGAATTAACCCATAGGCACAGCCCACTGAGTTTCTCGCCGGATCTTCTCAGTGGGTCGCGTTTCCGATCCGGTGGTAGACTCCTTAGCAACACTCCCGGTTAGAGCCCCGTGAACTCACCCACACGTCAAGGAGAAGCTGAAATAGCCTCTCAAGGCTATCAGCATAGGTAGGGAAAAAAGAAGATTAGTCTAAATCTTAAGGTTGCGATAACCATGGACGAATTTCGATCATACGAATACTAAAGCAATAGAAGACTAGATGTTTTCATTTTTAAGAGCGGGTGGATACATTAAAATGTGTTGTAGCGTTCATATTTCAATACAACTCCATATCGCTAATATCGTTCTGTGTAATAGTTCCAAAATCCCATAACTTGAGGTTAAGGTATATTCTGCACAGTGAAAGAATTATTGGCGAATGATTTAAACATAGCGTTGCATTAATCGAATTCGGCCTATCGAAATGGTTAGGATTCGCGATAAAAACTATGCGACATTATTATCATTATCAAATTATGTACTATAAAGGTGCGTCAAAACGTAACTTGCGTCAAAGATTGTAAGGTAATTTGCTTTAGTTTTATCACTAAATCGATTTTTTTATAAATCGGATTAATACATTCTTATGATAATGATCAATAATTTATTGTTTATGGCAACACACTACTCGGCGTGTTTTACGTAACTTCGTTATCTATATATTAATACGTGAAGCAAAAACTTTGTATCCCTTTTTACGAAAATTGCGCTGACGAAGGAGTATGATATTTTCCACGCTTATAAAGAATATAGAGAAGAATGCTAATGCTAATATTTTTTTTAAATAATGCATAAAAGATACATTAAATCAATAAATAAAACATTACACACACTACACACCAAGTATTTGACGCACACACGCAAGCATACTATTTATTGTCAAACTTTTGTTCTTGACGTCTGTTGTCAAATTGAGAATAGATTAAATATTGTTTGTCTTTGTTAATATTTTTTATAGTATAGGCTTGGCGAAATTTGTGATTATAGAAGTATAAAATACAATCATAATAGTGTACAAACTTACAATTCCAATTAATTATAGTCGAATTTCGATTACTGCGGGACCACTAGTCTGTATAGATTCATAAATAGAGCTATTGAAGCCCAGCCGAGCTCCGCTCTGACTATCGCAACATCGACTTCATGAAACTACCCGCGATCCACAAATGTTCTGTCGATGTAACTATGACAGAAACCTTCTGTTGAATATTTCTAATGAAATACGTACTTAATTCGTTCACGATTGAATTCCATGGGGAAGGAATAACATGGTGTAGTAAAAACCCGCAAAATTATAATTTGTGTAGGACGGTAGGTAGGTAGGTGGTAGGACGTCTTGTGACTCCACACGGGTCGGACCACAGTCCTGCCTATTTCTGCCGTGAAGCAGTAATCGTAATAATATCTTTTTATTTTTAATACGCTTTTATTAACTTCAGACGTATGTATGTTAGTATGTAACGGAATCTTTGAACATGATTTTTACCCCCTTGAAAACGTCGGATTAACTCGAAATTTGGCATACTTATTTAGGACCTATGACAATTCAATCTTTGAAAAAAAAAAAGATTTGGAAAAATTGAAAAAAATGTTTTATTGTAAAAAAGCGCGGTGTGCATGGTAACCGATACGAGTAGAAGGGTTATTTTGATAATATCCCGAAAAACACCACACGCTTTTTCACAATAAAATCATTTTGCTTACACTATTTTTAATTCAAATTTATTAAAATTTACTTTCGATTTTTTAGTTGGATTTTCTAAAAAATCTAAAAAAATACGCTTTATAGAAAAGCGTACCTGTTTTTTTAGATTTTTTAAACTGTTATTTATTTGTACTTAACGTCCTCCGAAGTTAAAATAATGGCTTTCATTCAGCTCTAGTCCCGCCGACATTGTCAATACTTATTAGCCACTGTAGGAACGGACTTATCAGATCTAGGACGTACGCATGCAAAGTGTATAATATCAGGCTTGGAAATCGGATTTAGATAATTTACCAATCACACAATTAGTAATCGATTTCAGGTAGACAAATGCTGTAAACGAGGTTGAATACGTTACGCTTTTTAATTCGTGTTCCATTAATTTTATTTTACAATATCAAACGCTACGAATATATATAATTATCTCTCTCTCTCTCTCTTCGATCGGTCCCTCACTGCTGAGGATCGTGACTCCGTCCGATTTCGTCAACCAACTGTCTCCATCGATCCCGCCCTGCAGCCCGGTGGAGTGCGTCGCTGATAGGTATCCCCAGCTAATTATATATTTCATATAATATATAAAATATATAATTTTTGAACTCAAAAATATTATAGTAACATGAATTGTAACACATGACAAAAATTACATCATAAACGTAATAAAAATTGTTTGATTTATCGTGA